ACTCCATTACTTTCGTTAACTCCCCCCGGGAGAGATCAGGAATTTCAGGCGCGCGAAAAGCGATCGCAAATGCGCGAGAGGTGCGCGAACGCACAAGGCACCCATTCCGCGAAAGATTCCTCAGGTAATGGATTTCTATATCCGGGGGATTACGCGCGCGCGCGTTTTTCCCGAGAATCAATTTTCGGAGCACCTGTGGAACGGGACGCCGCGCGCCGCAGATGCGCGGATCCCGCGGACGCACGTCCCGCGCGTGATGACGCGCCTGACGCACCGCGGCGCGGAGCGGTTTCGTTCAATCAACCTCGGCCTCCTCGGCGATGAATCGCGACAGCCGGAGACGGGTCCCGTTTGGCGGTTGACCAGATATCGGCGCAAAATAACCGGCCGATAAAGCGCCCAGGAATCCGCGGCATCCGGACCATCTCTGCGGTAATGATCTCCGCTCACGCCGCGTGCCGAGGCGAGGGCGGGCGCGTGTGTTGCCCCACGCGTATACGGCACCCTCGTCACCCGACGAGAATTCGCGGGTGACGACGGGGGAGCGACGGGGACGGGGAGGAGAAGAACCGCGCGGACGCGGACGCTATTATATACCCCAAATAACATCCCGCGCGCACGCGGGTGCGGCCGTCAATCGCGGCCGCGGTCGGCGTGCCGCGCTTATTATAGACCCTATATCGCACCATCACACGGCGGCACGCACCCGAAAATAGACGCCGCGTGCCGCGATTTACGCGCAGGTGACCCTTCCGTTGGACGCGGAACTTCTCCGAAATCGCGCCCCGGAACTGGGGATCGGATCAACAGCGTCGTTAAGGCGAGTTAACTTGGGAGACGCGCGTGCCAAACGAGCGAGGACACGTAATCGAGAAACGATTCGCGATTGAGGTCCCGAGGAGCTCTTCGAGAGATAGAATCGAAGACGGTACGTCTCCTGCTCGCGAGATTCCCCCGAATCATCGAGGATCTGCGATCCCGTTTGATGATGCCGCGTGGTACGTACCCTGCACTGTTAAATTCGTAGGGTACAAGTAGACTGACAAATGCGTATCTACATTTATTCAAAATTAGTCTAAAATCATAATAGTACCAATAAACACGTGTTGAAAAATTGTAGGGATAAACAGTACGGTTGTTGGCTACTCTACAATGATTGGCTACAGCTTAAAAAATTGAAGATTATAAGGAAATACTATTAAAATGTTTTTAATTATAAAAAATAATAATTATAATATTTTTATGTTTATACCGTTTACCCCTATCATTCTACCGTAGTAGAGTTTTAAACTTTATACTTGGGGTCTCGGAGGCCCCAGAGTGTATACCTAGGATTAACTAAAACAATGTTAATTTAACTAAACCAATAGAGTTAATAATAATATTTTGTGTTGAAATAATAAATTTCGACACGCGTGGTAGTTAGAAAAAAAAATGTTATCTAACTCAAGAGGTATTGACTTAAATTTTATCCTTTGATATTTAACAGTGTACACGAGATCTATAAGACAAACTGTCTTCAGATTCGAAGATAAGCTGAAGAGATATGTCAATCTGATATGTTGGAATTACAGAGATATAACTTAGGATTCTGATTCGATTAACACAAATTAGTCTAACAAGTCGATGAGGCGGCTTAATCACTCTGCCGTGTTACAGGGCGTAATGCGACGCTCAACAAATAAAGCTAGGCGATGATACGGCGCGTATTTTCAGACTAGAAAATCCGAAATTAGCCCAATCGATCTGACATGCCGTAATATTCCGAGGAATAACCGACGGCATCTGCATTTTGTTGCCCCACATTTAGCCGGCGTCACTCTTCGTAGAATGGTTCCGAAATGGTTCCACATTTTCAGGGATCATGCTTGAACATCGATAATCGGAGGATAATCGGCTCCATAAAATTTAAAATTCCCATAAATTCAAGCTCGGGCTTAATCTCTCTCTCTCTCTTCTGCTTTACATTCACGTGCATCATTCGGGTTATAATAACCGCGATTAATAGGTACTCCAGAGTATCTCAGGGTAATTGAAATAAATCCCGAGCGACGGCGGTTCAAAAGGTCGGAGCTGGCGCAGAGGAAAAAAGGGTCGGACCGAGGGGGGGGGAGGACGGGGAGGCAGTCCACCTCTTCACGATCCCTCGCGTATCGGCGCGGTATCCTCGCAACCGACGTACGTCTCGCGGATAAAGCAAGGCAGACTACTTTCTTGTTCCCGCGCGGCGCGCGTCTCTGCCCCGCGCCGGCGCGATTCGTTCTTATTGCATTCGGAAACTCGTCGTTCGGCATTCCGCCGCGGTCGGAATTTCTATTTCATAATAACAGCCGTGCACACACGACGACGGGGAGAGGCCGGCTATCAAGAGAGAGAGACCGTCCTCCTCCTCCTCCTTTTTGCTTTTCTTTCTCCTCATCCTCTTCTTCTTCCTCTGCTTTGCGCACCTCTAAGCCCGCTGCCGGTGTATAGACAAGTACCCACTTCAGACTGGTTTCGACTCGACGGGACGGGGACGAGCCCACTCGCCGTGTACGTGTACATACATATAAGTACGTGTTGTGTGCGGGCCGTACCACCCGGCGTATAAAACCGCGCGCACACTCGCGGTGGTCCCGTGTCCCGTCCCGTCCCATCCCCCATTCTGTCCCGTGTCCAGATGTGCGTGCCGACTTTTATCTCTTTGACCCACTATTTTCAGGGCGGCCGTAATTGAGCGGAGTCGCGCGCGCCGACGAGCCGCCGCCGGGATTCATTAGCTTGGATCCACGTCTTAATTTGTCGGCGTCGGACGGACCTGCGTCGCTTGGATTTCGCGAATCTGGCACGAGCCGATGATCGCCCGAGATGATTGACACGGGCGAGTGAGCGATCGTCTTACATCGCGAACGAACCGCGAAGGACTCGACGAAAGAATAATTTAATCGAGATTCGAGTGTATTGATCCCGAAGCTGCGGAAATTGGAGATTAATTTATTGCTAATTATCACCGCGCGTTGCGTCACGCGATTAACCCTTAAATGCCACACCTCTCAAGAATCTCGTAAGTTCACTGAGGGGTCTAAAAGACCCCAGCATAAAAAATGTTTCCTTACTCATTAATTTTTTTATCTTTAGTTATGATAATTTTTTTCAATGTTGTTCAAGGTCTAGAGAAGAGTATAAAATACTAATATTGTTCAAATTTCAATTTCAACATAGTATAAAAAATTAAGTAAACTGAGTACTGCTAAGTGTACACACGGGTAGGTCAATCACTCAACTATCATCAATGGGAGCATGAGCTCCATTTTTAGCAAGAACATTTGGAAACATTTCATTCTAAAGGGTCTGGGGGTCCGCTGAACCCCACTGGTCATTTAAAGGTTAATTTGCCTCTGCGATTATTATTAATCTTATTATAAAAGATGATATAAAAAGGAATCGCTCGGTGCTAAATAAAAGAATACTATTAACATTTACGTTGACAAAATAACAACTTGGAAAACGAAATCTCCCTGTTCCTTAATGTTTCTAACCGTTCTTAAAACATCTGCGCTACGATCACATCTCCAAGCTGGGTCCCTAGGGTAAGTGACTTTTACAAATCGCGTATAAATAAAAAAAGAAATAATATACGTGGACCAAGCCGTGGTCAGTTTGGTTTCGGGGTCGACAACCTCCGGCAAGCATTCTAAATGTTACACATCCTCGCGTATATCGACCACCTCGATTGCGAGAGACGTCGTCGTCGGAACCCGACGACGCGGCCGGAGCCTTTCAGCGCGTTATTAAACTACCGCTCTCGGCTCTTCGCAAAGTATTCTAATATGAGTCGGCCAAGTATTTTTCCTCACACTCGGCGGCGCGCGCCGCGAGAGAGAGAAATTAGGCGGACGGCCAATAATAGCGCGTATATTTTCCTATCCTTGAAGAAACACGCTTTTAGACCTCGCTTCCGGCAAGCTTCTCTCTCTCCTCCTGCCGCGAAGGGATCCTCCGTTGCGAGCGCGCGATCGATCGATCGCGTTCCGATCTCGACGGCGAATACGCCGCGCGAACCGCGATCCCCCAAGTTTCCGGCGAAACTTTCGCACCTCTTGGTGAACGACGATGCGACCGACGCGGAAAAATCTCTCGCGGCACACGAGTTCGTCGACACGGGAAAGGTAAATAACGTCGCCGCGGTGCCGCGCGTTTCTCTCTCGCCGCGGCGAGGAGACGTCCCGTTTCAGCGCTCGGCTCGTTTTCCTTCCTCGAGGCGCGACTTTAATTGTCCATCCTTGAACGATCGATCGCCGGCGCGGCGTCGCCTCTCGCGCGAGAGTGCCACGCCGACGCGGCGGCGCGGGCGCGGTGAAACCGAAACGGCCGCGCCGGGATGACTTTGAATGCGCGCCGTCGCTCATCGCGCTGAGCCGCGGTGACGTATCGACAGGCCGCGGCCGGAAAACTGCATCGTTACACCTTCCTCCCGTCCCACCCCCGTTTTCTGCATTTGTTTTTGTTGGATAATACGCTGCGTGCCGCGAATGTGTGTTGTGCGCGCGCTCGGAGGTTTTTCGCACGCAACCGCGGCGATCTCCTCTCGCTCGCGCGCGGAGACCTAATTCGCGGAAGAAGCGGGAGAACGCGGTGTTCCGAGACTCTAAGATTAATCTAATTCTAAGATCGATCAATCGACGATTACGTATCCACTTGGTTTTACCTGGAAACCGCGAAATCACGTGATTAGAAACGATCCTCGCGCAATAAGGATTTCGTGCGATCTTAGTGATTTACGGTCGCGCTGGAAAATCCGCTCCCTCTATCTATTGTATATTTTTACATTTAATTTGTTAAATGTTACGTTACGCAGTAATTATTGAAGAAATAAACGACGATATGGGATTATCGAGGTATACATAAGTTCGCGGGAAACAAGAGTACAAATAATCTCGCTTCCGCGAAAAGTGGCACGGCTATAGCTGCGCGAATCCGACTTCCAGTTCGAGAGGTGGGAGTTAAAAGGTTGATCTTACCAGCGGCTTGGAATACATGGAGGTCCCGTCGCATTCTTAACTTCTTCTGCCCGTCGCGGTCGTGCGACAGCTGCATTTGTTTCAGGTACTCTCTGTGCGCTCTCTCGTACTCGGCCTGGCTCACGTTCGCCTGGAAGCAAAACGCCATAATGGCTTCCTTAAAGCCTCATCATCGGCTCAGAAACGGTACGCTTACGTAACGTTGCGTGTATAATAGCGGCGCGGGACAATTACAACGCACATATTACGGCGCGAATAAGGAGTAACTACCGGAAGCGCGTTCTCGCTTCTTGGAACCTTTGATAGAAATTTATAGATGCGTCTACGTTCGACGTTTCTTGCCATTTCAAACGCGAACAAAAAGGCCGACAATGATTTCTTCAGCATCAATGTAACATAATATACAATAATATCCAAATAATAAAAAATTTCAATAAACTTATACGCGCAGCTTATTAAAATCGTCAAATATAACTTGTTTTAATTTTCAAACTAAGACAAAACGTATTCGCGCGAAATGTTGATCTTTCAGAACGACATTCAGATTTCTCTCGGTAAAAGGCTCTTCTTTGTCGAGAAAGAGCCTCAAGAGCCAGCCTCTTCGCGGAATTCAAAGATTAAAGGTAAATAATGGGAACCTTGCCGTGGTCCATTGCCAATTGCCACCCAAGATCGAGATTTCAGCTACCCTCCCGAGAGCGCGAAACGCGCTTCACGAGGTCGCCTGAATTCGCCGGGTAAACTTTCGGTCCGTTTAATTGATTCCCGGCTACGTCGAACTCGAGAGCGATAATTACTTCGCGGACGTGACATCGAAATTATCTAATTTT